CTTCCAATTTAGATAAATTACTAACTAGGATTTCAAAGTAATATTTAATAATTTCACTATTCCTTTAGTTAAGAAAACTATACACATTAAAGTGACGAAAATTTTGCTCTTAAATGTAGAAAATGCAGAAAAGTAATATTATTTTGCTAAAATACAGTAAAATATTTGTCAGAGTCTGTGAAGATTTTGTGTGGGTCATTAGAATTCTCAGTTTACATGATTGAATGTATACAATTTTTAGTTTGGTCAAGTAGTTTATTATAGTGTTGAAATAACAGCTTTGGCACACATAAATTAGTATTTCTAGATAGTTGGCTTGAGTTAAAAAAGCAAAATTGCATGCTAAAAATGATATCAAATGTGTTCAAGGCATGTTTCTTTTCTTTTTTTTTTTTAAGCGTAACAAACTAGGTTCTTTATTTGAAAAAAAAATTGTTCTTTTTTTTTGGTTTTAAAGGGAAAAGCATTAGTTTCAAGATGGGTTTGGTCTCAAGATTTAGTCAGACAATAACACGAGACAAAAACATTGAGACATAACTTGTTTCCAAAGTCACAAAATGGCATTGTTGAGTATGTATTTTTTCCCACTTTTTTTTTCTTTGTGGGGGGAAAAAAAACCCTCAGTAATCAATGCTGGAGAAAATATTTTCCAAGAGTAACAGAATATTTGTATCGGGGAAAAAACATTTTTTAGCATATTGCTATGATCTTCAGAAAATATAAAACTAAATTTACAAAAAACTGGAAGACCAAGTATAAGCAGTCTGGTATTTGCTTCAGTGTCCAGCACTATAATAACGATCTCGAGCATAAAAGCAAGAAGTTCATGGATCTCAAGTATCTTCAGTAACTGCCAGTATAACCTGTAACTACTGTCCTTGCTTCTTTGAGAGACACCTTTCCCAATATTTGTGATTTAGCTCCAAAAAGTCATCTAATTTTGCTATTTCCTTGAGGTACTGAGTTAATTTTAAAAGTTCTTTGTCTTTATCTCGATTTAAGTGTGCTTTCATAAAAGGTCTTATCTTTAGTCCATTCTGCGGGTTCATTAGAAAATTTCTTCCTATATCATCAAACACAATGGTGTTTTTTTTGCTGTAAAACTCCAAAAACTTTCCCCATATAACACCAAGAGGCTTTACATCTATTAATCCTCTCCTTGGAGTATGCACTGTTATCATAGCAGTACTGTCCAACATGAAGGTAATCTTATAATTTGCATTTGTGCTCACTCCCAGCTCTTTCATTTTAGCTTCAATCCACTTCATATTTGTTGCAGACCAAATAACAATGTCATAATCTTCATATGCAGATGTTAGGAATTCACGAAGATATGGCCGCATTAATTCTACTCCAGTCTCTGCACAAGACCTACGGTCAAATAATGTATAATCAACATCTAGTACCAAAAGCTTTTTCCCTTCCCTGGGAGGATTCAAAATTTCCACTTTGCACTCTTTTACTCTGCGGGAAATTTTCAGTAGGTTTTCTTCCCTATTTTCTACTTCAACTACTTCATCTTCAATATCAAAGTCGTTGACAACATCATCATTGTCAGGGGGTGGACCTAAGACATCTTCCAAGCTCTCCTCACGAGTTCCCATCATCATGATTTTAGTATTTGGTTTCAGTTTGAGAGCTCCAAGCTTAACATCATTTTCTGCAGGTTTGCCTTTAACTTTGAGTCCAAGTAACTTCTGGCGTTCTGGCAGCATTCCCGTAAGGGTCTTAAGAAACCGTTTGAGATCTAGCATAGTATCATCTTCTGAAAGTGTGGTCACTGAATATTCCTGTCCCCCCCATTTTACGACGATAGGGAGAGCCATTCTTGAAGCATAAGAGGAAGCAGCTTTCCTTCAGAAAAAAATACCTGGAGCGCTGAGTAACCAGCGGCAGCAGACGTAGAAGCCGGCCATAGCGGAACCGAAGGCGACCGGAAATCCAAGGCATGTTTCTTTAGTGAGGCCAATCTAAGAACTTATTAATGAGGTATTTAGCAACCTCCCATATTTTTCTGTTTATATATAAAGAGAAAGGAAAAATTTTGAGGCTTAAAAATAAATCTGATCATCAAAAAAAAGAGGAAAAAATGAAATTTAATTTTAAACCGCTCACTAACACAGGCAGGCAAAGCATTCTACACCTATAACCAGGTTTTCTATGCAGCCCTAATTTTTAACCATTACATACAGGGCTCTCTGGGGACAAGGGCTAACCAGGGTTTCCAAAGTTTAAAGGCCAAAAATATATATGAGAAATAGATTATAAACAACTCTGTGATAGTTCTTTATTACATAAAATACAAAAAGGAAAGAATCTGATGGCATTTGATTCAGAGCTATTTTGTGCATATAATTATATCTGATGAATAGGAGGAGGACAATTGTTTTAATGCACAGTAGAACATTCAATTCTGTGGATTCAGTTAAATGTAAATAGTTTGAATGTTGAATGTTGGTTAGGCATTTACAAATGGAGACAGAAATGAGATTTTTTTTTAAAAAGTAAGGTGATGTGAAGTATGACCATGTTAATAGGAATACGGGTGAAAAAAAGGAACTTCAAAGTAGAGGTGAAACATATTTTTTGTTGTTATAAAATTATTCTAATATATATTAAAATGGGTCAAAGACAGAAAATATGAATTTAAAATGAAATCATCAACACATAATGAGTAACATATAATTCAACTTAATTCATTTTGCTTGAACAGTTTATTGAGTACCTGCTATGTGCAAGAAAACGTGCTAGGTGCTAGGTAAAAACAAAAATGAATACTACATGGACCCTGTCTTAAGGAGCTTACAATCTGATTAAGAAAACACGTATGTGAGTAACTATAATACAAGGTAGAATCATAGAAGCAGAGGCACAAAGTAATGAGAGAATCATAAAGAATAAAGAATAATTTCACTTGGAAACGCTTCCAAGAGTAGGTGCTATTTGATCCAAAGCATCCTTGAAGGACAGCAATATTTTAAAATGTGGAGATTTGGGGATGGGGAGAGGGGGTAAGGTGGTGAAATGCATTAATGATGAGGGAACACGGTGTATTTGAAAAGGAGGTGGGAATATACTAACAGTGGGAGTCAAACCTTGATAGACAGGTCGGTACAAGTTCCTGAATTCCAAACTAAGCAGGTGCTACAGAACCACTAAATGACACAAATGATTATGATCAAATTGAAGTGTGATTCCCAAAAGTACAACAGAACCTAATGATAAATATTTGTAGTATTAGTTTTCTTAAGCAATATGCTTCAAAATTCAAGTACCCAATTTTCACTAACTTATGCTCATTAGCCAAAAGATATATACATTTATATGTATATTTTATTGGATATACTGTATATGCCATATTATGTTCATATTACAAGATTAATTTTGTATCATGGATGAGAGAAATTTGCTGATAATAATATTATCTTTTACAAGTCATGTGTTTGTACGACACAGTGAAGGTATGTCACAGATAATAATTTGGTTAACATACTTGATCAGAGACCAAGCATTTTGCACAAGACAGAATGGTCTCTATGAAAGCAAGTTCTATAGGTACTTCTGGAATCAAAAATTTCCTGAGCCTCAAAGCTTTGATAATGGAAAGATAATTAAAGAAAATGTTCTGTATTAAGCATGCATTCTTCCCACACTCTATGATCTCTGAGCTAGCAGTCAAATGTGGTAGTTTATAGCACTACCCCACTTGCCTAGCAGGGTACAGAATTCTGGCTTCTGACTCATTGCAATCATCCCCATCCACAAGCCCAAGTTTTACTGCGTTATTCTATG